TCAAGGATGGCTCCTACCTCAAGCAGGACTTGTGACTACTTGTGTCTGCAGCACCCAGGGAACATCACGGTGACCTTGCACACTGACACACTCTTGAAATGCCACAACTAACTATAAACTCATGGCAACTGCATAAATCACTCCGTCTTAGTTCTTTCACAAGTCTAAGTGGTTTTAGGGACAGAAAGACAACACTTTCTGAGAAGAAAACCCAAAGAAAAGGAGGATGAGTGTCCTTCTAGTGAAGCAGCAGTTTAAAGAATAATCACATTCCTGCCGTGGAAGACATGCTGGTGCTGGCCTTACGAGCCAGGAGAAAGCAGCCACAGGACAGTGAATCCAGAACAAGATGTTTGCACAGGAATGCTCAAAGTCCATGTGCAATAAGCCATTTCAGGGCCTCTCCAGGTCTGCCCCAAATATAATAGAGCTAAGCAGAGATAGGCAGCATTTCTGGCAAAGCGAAACACTGACGTGGTTTACATGGACAGGAAAGTACACTTTTTTTAGGAGAGACATTTCCATAATTTACTGTTTGTGTGAAATTTAAAGAACCTAATCAACACCACTCAAGTAGGCTGCTACTAAAGAACTGCAGAAGCATTCCAGAGCTTGGGAGTGGCACACATTGTTAGCCATGCAGCCTCTCCACTGTCCGTGACACACATCACACACACCACTGTGGATCTGTTCCCCCCAGAGACCCATCTGCGCCCAGAATTTGAGACTCACAAGAAAGGAGCAGTAGGATTTACACTCAATTACACAGCACCATGAGGAGAAGGACTTCCACCCACAACAGCTACAGGGTGGTTACACCAGCTCACAGCAGAGGAAGGATGGCCAATTCAAGTAAACCATTTATTTAAACCAGTAAGTGCCACCAGCCCAGCATCCCAAGATTCCAGGTATCACTAGGGTGGAGCCATCCAAACAGCAGTTTTCCCCCCAGAACTTACACAGAAGCTGTTTCGTGGCAAATACTTAGTGCTGGCTCTCACAGTTGCTCTCCTGTCCACTGCCACATAAAAGTGCTGAAACAAAGGGGGTAAGATTAAAGAGCGGGTTTGCAAGGAACAAGCTCCAAAGCTTGAACAGGAACATGCAGCAGTTTCAGTTCAAAACTGCAAACAGCTCATGCCTGGTACACTGGGAGGGCCTGTTTTCTTCTCTTGGAAAGCTCCTGAGGGGGGAAGCTTGTGGAGCTGTGGGCCAGCCAACTCCAGGCAGGCCAGCTCTAACCTCCCTTCCCAGCTGCCTACACAGAGAAACTTCAGAATATAAATACCAGAGGAAAAAAAGGAAAGCTCCAATTATCCTTAGACCACAAGAACAACAATGTTTAAAAGTAAAGATGCTGGCAGGGCAGCAGAAAGGAAGAGCTGTCCAAAACAGTTGACTGAAGAAATTGTGTTTAGTCGGCAGCCACTGGGGCAAGACAAAGAAGAAATCTGCTGTATGGCTGGTTCTTCCACAACAGCACCCAGGCTGGATTTACTGTTTCAAGTGTTTTCTAATGAGATCAGACGTAAAAACTGTCAACTACACAAGCTGTGCTTAAAATCCATTCTCTGTAACTTAGGTTTCCTTTAGAAAGCTCTGCTTCCAAAAGTAACCGTGGACAGGAGGATGATTTGCTCCTCCTGGGATTATTATTCCTTAACTGTATTCACAGTAACAAGGTTGACACTGAATTGTTTTTTCCTCAGGTTTATGAACTGATGAGGATAGTTTCCCTTTAAGATCTATGCACAAGGGTCAGTTTTATACAGTTGGTAATACTCATATGATTCCAGGAAAGATTTTTCTTTTTTAAAAAAACTAAACAAATCTAGTTCTGTCCTTCCTCAGATTGATACAACTATGATATTGCCAAAAGGACTAGAGAGCAGTATCATGTCAAAGAAAGAGTATTTTATTCCTGCTGAAAGCCTTGCACTTGGGTTGGTTTCTCTGTGGCAGAGGCCACAGCAAAGTATCTTTGGCAGGAAAGAAAAAATGTCCAGGTGAGATGGACATACAGGTACTCACAATACATGCTTAAACCTCCTTCAAACTCTGCAAGTGTCCTGATTCACAATTTTGCAGACCTCTTCTTTCCAAAAACAAACAAATAAAAGATGAGTACTTCTTGATGGTGTAGATGGGGTATCCACAGAAAATCCAGCATGGTCGCACCAATACCTTGTATTGGAACCAGTGTGCAATGTAAAGTTATAAAGTATTTGTTCAGCAAATAAAGATGAGGGGCTAACACTTGCCTGGAGGTTTCAAGTCTCCTATATGGAACTCATGTTAGGCATAATCACAACAGCACCATGCACATGAGATGCAATGATGTTTGCCCTTCGAGGCAAAACAGGCCATTTCCCAGAGATGTTCACTAGTAATTCTCAATTTGCTTTCACAAAATCCCAGAATGGGCCCGGTTGGAAGGGACCACAGTGGGTCAATCTGGTCCAACCTCCCTGCTCAAGCAGGATTATCCTAGAGCGCCATGGCATAGGATTGTGTACAGACACGTTTCAACATCTCCAGTGAGGAAGACTCCACAACCAATCTGGGCAATCTGTTCCAGTGCTTGGTCACCCAAACAGTTGAGTTCTTCCTCATATTCAGTGGTACCTGTACATCAGTTTCTGCCTGTTGCCTCTTGTTCTATTGCTCAGCACCACCAAGAAGAACCTGGCTCTGTCCTCTTGACACCATCTCTTCAAATACTTGTAGACATTAATGAGGTCCCTCCTCAGTTGTCTCTTCTCCAGGCTGAAACCCACCTCTCTCAGCCTTTCCTCATAAGATGGGCTAAACTCTTAGTCATCGTTGCTGCACACAACTGGACCTGTTCCAGGTGCTCCATCCACATCCCTCTTGCACTGAGGAGCTCAGAATTGGACACAGCACTCCAGGTGAGGCCTCGCCAGGGCTGGGAAGAGGGGCAGGGTCACCTCTCTCCACCTGCTGGCAATGGTTTTTCTAATGCACCCCAAGATACCACTGGTTCTCTTGGCCACAGGGGCACTGCTGGCTTGTGGACAACCCCCAGCCTGTACTGGTGCCTGGGGTTATTCCTCCCCAGGTGCAGGACCCTGCACTTGCCTTGGCTTGAATTTCGGTTGGCTCTTCTCTGCCCAACTTTCCAACTGGCCCAGGTCCTTCTGAAGAGATGCATATTTACCCCTTCTTTTCCTCCCAAAAGAGCTTTAATTTCTTTACCAATTGTCGTGGTTTTGCCCACCAGCCCATCCCTGGGGCTGAGGATGGTTTTGTCCAGGTTAATTTCCGGACAAAAAGGCCAATCGAAAGTCCAGTGACGCCTTTGCTAATTACATCTTTAAGAAAACGGAAGAGAAGGTTGTTGGCACAGTTGAAATTAGGGGCAGCAGCCATGTAGGGGAGAGGAGTAGCGGGCCCGAGCAGGGCCAGACTCCCTCCTCCCCCGGTTTGGGCCGGGGTGGGGGGAGCAGGTGTAGCACTGAAGTTCTCCCTTCTCTCTTGTAAGAGAGGAAGAAAAAAAAGTTTAAAAGACGAACTGCTTGGACAGGAACTGCTGTGGAAGAATTCCAGCCGAAAGATAATGGAGCTTCCAAGGTCAAAGCTGGCAGCTGAAGCTGCAGCAAGAAAAGTGTGAAAGGGGGGGCTTGTTTCCCCCCCCCCTTTTCGCTCGCTCTCCTCAGCAGGGAAAAGACTGAAAAGTAAACCCTGCTACTTGTAAAAGTTTGTTGGAGTAAGGAGACCCCCCCATGCGGCTGATAGAGGAGTGTGTGGATGTACCAAAGAGAATCGAGACTTCATGAGAAGGACTGAAGTGAGGCAGAGTCCTAGTGGAGATTTGTGACCCTGAGGGAAACCTGTGCTGGAGCAGTGATGACTCAGGTGGGATACTGAGATCCGTGCGTGTGTGGAACCATACTGCTGTTGAAGATTTTGTGACCCTGAAGAAATCTCATGCTGGAGCGAGACGGCCCATGTGAGATGTTGGAATCCGTGTGTGTGTGGATCCGTGCTAGACCCATGCTGAGAAGTCTATCAAGGACTGTTCTCCCATGGAGAGGGACCTCCATAAGGAAACAGGGGTGAACTCTTAAGCCATTATCCCCTGTAACCCTGTGGAAGAAGATCCATAGTAAGCAAGTGTCCCCTTGCAAGCCTATGGAAGGAAGACCCTTCGGGACCTGGGTAACCCCCAGCCTTCGGTCTTAGCCCAGGAGGGGGGTAAGCCCAGCCCTGGAAGCCAACACAGAGCGAGAAAGAGAGAGAAAAAGTTCCAGCTGCAACGAGAATACTGCTACTACTGAAGATCTATTACTAGAGAGAGAGAGCTGGAACTCTGAAAATAGAGAATGAGACTACTTCTTCTCCTTGGACTAGTATAAAAGGGGAAAAAGTATTTCTGTAAATATATAGCACTTCAACTTGAGTAGAAATTGTTGTAGATATAGTTCTTAAGTTTTTAATTTATTAGTAGTTTTTGTTTTACTAGTAATAAATGTTTATACTATTTTTCCCCAAATCCTGTCTCTCTTTTGTCTGCAAAAACCTTCTCTCAACTCGTAGTAATTGTGTGGGGGGTGGAAAGCAAATTGACCCAGAGCAAAACCACGACACCAATATATTAAACACTTCTTCTAAAATGCCACACAAAGAAGAAACGTTATTTAGTATACTGAGATCGTTCAGATTTTACACAGTTCACATACCTGGATCGACAAGAGTACACACCACTCCACAGCAAGGAAGTTCACCTCCCCACCACTGGTATGCAAAGAGCCTAATCTGGAATGCCATTTCTGATGACCATACTGAGGAGTTAGCATGGGTTAATCAGCAACATCCACTGAGACCTATATGGATTGCAAAAAGTTCTTTCCCACAAACTCTATCCAAGTAATATTTCTGGGGACAGGGAAGCAGCAGGGAGTGGAGAGCAACAACCCTAAAACACACTGGGCTTAAATCAGTGGATTAGGCTGGTGGTTACTGGTAATGAAACAGCAGAGTTTTCACTATATAAAATTTATAAATTTATTTTTTTTTTGTAAAAATCCAAAGAGCACGAAGACATCTCACTCAAAATACTGGTAAATCAAACCACACTTAGAAAAATGAAAGCTGATTTTATTATCTTATCCACAGCCAATCATTTGACATGAACATGCATACGTAATTTTGCTACGCACACACCACAGTTTAACGTTAGTTATTAAAGGTTAAACATACAACATACATCCTTACAAAAATGAGTCAAAATGCAAACGTAACTTTTAAACAAAACAGTTTTTACTCATTTAAAAAAACTTTTGTGTTGGGTACCATTTTGTACAAACACAGTTAATTTAAACAAATCTGCTTTTAGTTTCCTCATGGTTGCACATGAAAATAAGCTGCAATAGAAAATGAAGTCATCAAGGGATTTTTAAATAGCAGAAGTAGGCAGTCTTGCCATGCAGAAGAAGCAATATTAAATATTAGTTTTTCAAAAAAAGAAAAAAACCACAAGTTTAAAAATATTTAGTTCAAGTCACAAATCTTTCCCCAGTACAGAGAAATCCAAATGCAACGCATAATTAGCTGCCACTTAGGATGGCTATTCTGAAAAGTAGAAATACTTTCCAGAATTGATAAATTTCTTTGATTTGGCACAGAAAAGAAGTCTGAGCTTACTTAGGAACAAGAAAGTGATTAAAAAAAAAAAAGGTAAACAGGAAGAGAAAAAATAAAAAGCAAGAATGAACGAGATAGTAGTTGCAATCACTAAAAAAAAAAATAAATCTGTGCATCTCAGTCATTGCAGAATACTGTCTACAGCAGGTGCGAATTCCAGGTAATTGTTATTGCAACATGGATTTAATTTGCTTGGAGGTAGTCTCATCATTCAAATGCTTTGTTGTGTACCTAAACACAGAAATAAAAGTTGAGATGAGCGTAGAGGCTATTGCACTTTGATTTAAAAAAATATGTAATTTCTTTGTTTATGGCTCAACCCGACTGTACCAGAGCAAAACCCTCAGCCATCGATCACCACCCACTCCATGGTTCCCCAGAGCACAAATCAGACATTCTGATCAGAAAATGCTGTTATCAATCAGAATTCTAACCCAGCAGCCTTGCACCAAGGGGAGTTCAAAAGAAGCCTCAGCTGGACATTGGCTTCTGTGCTCAAAGGCTATTTCATAGTAAACTCATATTATCACTAATCAGACTAACATCAGACTAACAGTAACATCAGACTAACTCTGAGGTCTCTCCCTGCAGGAAACATCTTCAAATAAAACAGCATCAGAAACTTTTCTTCAAAACTTCCAGTGATCAAACCTTCCTAAGATCCCTCAATGACAATGGATTTAATAATTTTTCAGCCTAATTTCCTGCTTAGTTAAGTGACTGCTGCTAAATCTAAAGAGCATACACACGTGCTTATTTCAGCCCTTTTCCCCTTCAAAATTCTCTAGGACAATAGCACATTTTAAAATTCCCATAAAAAGCTTAGTTACCTCTATTTTTAAAAGGGAGTAATGTATATCCTTAATATTGGCTTCTTTGTATTATTAATTTCTCTGATCTTCCTAACTAATCTAAAAGCAAGTAAAAAGTTATTCTGTACTTTAAATTTAACCTGTTAAATTAGCACTTCCATTGTTATCCACAACTGCAGTGATATTTATTTGTTCACTTGAAGAATATATAATGACTTTTTGGTTTGGAAATTAATATCAATGTAGATTTCTGAACTCTTTAGTAATTTATATTTTCCACAAACAGGCAGCCTAAGGTTTTCTGAAATCTTAAAAGTTACTGTACTTGGTATTCTGCCCACGTGAAAAAGCTGAACATGATTACAATGCCCATATGAATTTCAAATAACAAACAGCTGATCTCCTTCCAAAATCCTTACCACCTTCCACTTGCTTTTGAAACACATTATCTATCCCCTGAGGAAACATGAGAACTTCAACACTCCTCCAGAATCACATGCTCAGATTTGGACTTTACTTGCATGACATCACCTTGAACCCACTTTCATCACACAGCGGTTCCCCACCGCATCTCTTCCTAACACTGCCAAATGTGATTTAAAAACCATTTGAACATCCTGGCCAAGTGGCTAATCAAGTGCATGAAACCAGCGCTGTTGAAGCATCCGTGGATGGAAAGAGTTGGTGCAGGGAAAGGTCAGTGTGAGAGCATGGGCTGAATTCACATTGCTAACCACGAAGTGAGTGAGTGAGAACCTGAACTGCACCTTCCACGTACTTTACTAGTGTCAACAAAGATGGGAAAAATGAGGTACCTGTAAAGACTGGTGTTAATTTGCAGCTGCAATCACAATAAACTAGTCAGAAAAAAAATGCTAATACAGTCTTTTCCTTCTGGAAGCTTGTGTTTTTACTGAGCACCATCTCAAAGGCTGATCACGTAAAGAAGTTCAGAAATGACCAACAACATTATTTTAGCACGGAAATACTCACATGAAGTCCCAAATTAAGCATAGATGTTTTCTTTCATTTAATTAATAATCTGAAAGAACTTGGCAAATGAACCCACTTACAGCACCACATTATTTCACTTCTTACCATATGATAATACAAAAAAAAAAAAAATAAAGAGAGGGCTGATGGAATTAAAGCAGTTTTACCACAGATAAGAAAAAGCAATCACAAATGCTCACTTTCAGGCAAGACAAACTGAAGCATCCACATTCCAAAGCAAGTGCATGAGTAACAGCATCCAATAAAACTCATCTGTTACCAAAGTAATATGATACTTTTCCAAGTAAGGATAAGAACAAAGACTTAATCTGCCTATAACATTTTGGGACCTTTTGCCACACCTCCAATGCTGGACACCCACACAAAGAACATTTCTACCTAGAGATACAGCTTTAAGACCCAAATTAGCAGGTTTTAGATTAATATACTGAATCATTAATTTTTCCTTACTTCTCCAATTAATATGGCAAATTCTTGTCTCATCTATTCTACAGCAAAAGCATTGAGACTTGTGCCTTAAGTACTTCCTGAAAGAGGAATAATTGCTAGTTACTTACCACACCATACTGACTCATTTTTAACCTGTATGCAGGTAATGTACACAAAAAGCTATCTTAGAATGACAACTGCAAGTTTACAACCCAGCTGTTAAAACTGCCTCTCTCATGCATCCTTGTCTCAAGACAACTGAAAGACGAGCCTGCAATAATCACATTCACCTTTGACTGTAACAGTGACTGAATACTTTGGTGCTGAAGAAAATGCCCCGGACAATTAATGAAATTTCACATCAAAATATTAACAAAATCCAAATGAAAAAAGAGTACCTGAGAGCATTTAGAAGGCCTTCTACACTGTTAGGAGGCTGGTCTTTAAGAACTTTGATGCATCCTTTCATCTAGGAATTAAAAAAAGATACAGTTTTTTTCATGCTAGTACTTTCTGAGTTTACAGAAATGTTTTCTATTCAGTTTGTCAAAGAGAAAAAAAATAAGTATTTAAAAACAGCAGCAGTGTAAAGACATTTTCTGGATATTAGAAAGGAATTAAGCTTTCAATATTATATTTTCCTATGACAGACTGGTTTAGCTACTTAAAAATCTGCATTCTGAGTGCACCCTCAGCAAAGTTTGCTGATGACACCAGGCTGTGTGGTGCAGTCAACACGCTGGAAGGAAGGGATGGCATCCAGAGGGACATGGACATGCTTGAGAAGAAGACCCGTGTGAACCTCATGAAGCTCAACAAGTCCAGGTGCAAGATCCTGTGCCTGGGTCAGAGCAGTCCCAAGCACAAATACAGGCTGGGCAGGGAATGGATTGGGAGCTGCCCTGAAGAGAAGGACTGGGGGGCACTGGTGGACAAATAGTTCAACATGACCCTGCAAAAAAACCAAAAAGGCAAACATGTCCTGGGCTGCGTGGGCAGCAGGTCAAGGGATGTGATTTTCCTCCTCTATTCTGTTCTTGTGAGGCCCCACCTGGACCCAGCTCTGGGATCCCCAGCAAAAGAATGACATGGACCCGCTGGAGCAAGTCCAGAGGAGGCCACAGAGATGCTCCCAGGGCTGAAGAACCTCTCCTACAGAGACAGGCTGAGAGAGTTGGGACTGTTCAGCCTGGAGAAGAGAAGGCTCTGGGGAGACCTTAGAGCACCTTCCAGTACCTAAAGGGGGCTACAAGAGAGCTGCAAAGAGACTTTTTACACAGGCTTGGAGTGGTAGGATGAGGATGAATGGCTCTAAACTGCTGCTCCATCCCTGGAAGTGTTCAAGGCCAGGCTGGACAGGACCTTAAGCAACCTGGTCTGGAGGAAGGTGTCCCTGCCCATGTTGGCACTAGGTGATCCTTAAGGTCCCTTCAAACCCAAACCATTCTATGATAACTTTAGACAATGCAAACTTTCATGTCAAGCTCTGCTTTATTGACCTTAAGAAAAAAGTAGGGAACTGTAAATAAAAATACTTGTTTATCATAAATCCTTTAAGAATTATTACATTCAGCTAGTGAAATAATGACCAACTCTGTAGCTAGTAGAATAGGATAATAGACCATTTTAAACAACCATGAAGCCACATACAGTAACAGTATGTATTCCACAGACTTACGAACTAGCAGTAGAAAGTTAAAAACCTGAAGGTTGTTGGATTATGAACTGAGCTATTTACCAGACAGTGAGGAACAAGCCAGATGCCGCTGTTATTTTCAGTCGTTCTGATTTGGATCTTTCAGCACAACCAATGTTTACAAGTATTTCAAGACACTACCTGAATTCCATAAAACCAGATTTTACATGTCTAACAATGACCATTTACATGCCTGAAGGCCTAGCTTGTGTTTCTCACTACTTAAATATGTATTTTTGCTCGCAGTTACCACTACCGATTTAGTTTGAATCCAATGTATACATCCGCTACTGGAACTTGGAAGACAGAACAGGAACCTACAGACAATTTAAATACTCAAGAGATCATTTAGCAACAATAAACTTACATCAATTTTTGAAGTTTTGGCAAAAGCGCCCACTGGATGCACGTGGTCATAGAGTATGATGACACCCACCATTACCCTCAGACAGAATGATACTGTTTCCTCATTTGTAAACCTGCTTCTATATTCACTGTAATTTAAAAACACAGGTTATTATCTATGAAACACAGGATAAGAGTACATACTAGTAACACCCAAATTAAGATTAAAGAGAAAAATTCTACTTTAAGTCCTCAGAGAAAAAAAGAATCCTTCCCTAAAAAAACCCAAATCCACCAACCCCAAGCTTTTGATCGTTTTCTTTTTTCCTTTCAATAACCTGCCTACAAATCAGACAACTGCTTAGAAAGATTCACCTGAAGATTAATAAAGATTCTCAAACCTGAAAAAGGACTCTGCTGCTAAAGAGATTAAAATAATGCATACTAACTTTGTTTTCGGTGCTTCCTACAGTTTTCCCTGCCACACTATTATACACAAACTTCTGACTCGGGGGGAAAAAAAAAGGTAAAGAAAGCAAGCTAATGAGCAACGTTTGACTACTTTCTTGAATAGAACAGTCTATTCCTAAGAAGGATAAGAATATAAATGTTTGGAGCTCTTAATGTACTTCAAAACAAATGTGCTGTGGTATTTGGACAGAAAATTATTTAAATAAGACATAGCTCATGCACAAGTAATTTTACCAGTGCAAAACTATTTAGAACACAGAAGAAACAGGTAAAAAGAAAAAAGAAACAAAATAAAAAAAACCCACCAAAACCTAAAGTTTAGTCTGACTTTTTGGTCATACTCTGAGTGCCTGTCAAACGTACAGTAGACAACAGAATGCCTTCATGCCTGGAAAACATCTCTTAATTCCCCAGATAGGGGCACTGTCATTTTGTTACAGACATCAGCTGGGCCAGCCCACAAGGACAAACCATCCAGCACATTGCCCACAGCCCCTCTTTCAGGAGGCCCTAGGCAGTCATGCTCAAATAGTCTATTTCTCTGAATTATACATGAGAAAACCACTTATAAAGAGTGCCAAGAGGTTGTCTAGCTTCCATAGCCATGCTATTTTTAAATATTAATACGTTCAGAAAAGTAGACCGCATGATTTGCATGGCTAGCAAAATGAGACGTGGTAGTTTCATGTCAAGGTAAGCAACTAGGCTGGTAAAAAGAAAACACCATAGTTCCTAATTACCCCAATTATATTTCTTTCACCTCATGCATCACAAGTCACATCTGAGATAGAGAGATGACTCATTCCCAGAACAAGCACTGTTTATACTCACGGGGTTTCCAGCATGACCCTGCACACACTGGCCATGGTGCTTAAGCAATCTGTTGTATTCTCTATCGGTAAATTTTTATTCTGCAAAAGAAGGATCAACAGTTTCCAAGTCAATTCTTGGGTAATACTGTGCTACGAATCCTAAAACAATCCTAAAACAATCCTAAAACAAATCCTAAACCAAAAATGATCTGCTGGCATGGCAACGTGCGGGAATTAAAAACATCAACACAACTATGGTAAGTTGGGTAGTTCTGCACTTTTCTATAAAATGTTACCATATAGATTAGCAATTTCCAGAATAAAGTCTAACACATGGGTTTTGCTTGCTTTGTGAAGTCAAAGTACTACGCTATTGACACTACCGACTTTTGGTAAATTTTAAAGGAATCATCTAACTTGCTCCTTGAAGACAAATTTCTATAGCCAAATATATTCATCTGCTGTTAACAGTAAAAAATCATAGCAAACATCACAAAGAAATGTAAAATAAGAGGCCAATTTTCTTGAGGTATTTCAAGCATTAAGTGGAACTTAAAAAATATTAGAAAACAAATGTATCTGTTCATTAATCATGCAACATACAACTATTTTTAATTAAGAAATAGTGTGCATTCTCTGCACGTAAGCCAAAAATCACCACAGTTACCAGAAGGCAAGCACAATACTTGCAGTGACTGGATTTTACCACTAATATTTATCTAGGTAATTAAGCATAAATAGGGATGTGTGAAAATGTTGGAATATTGTTCCCGTTCAAATTCCTCCTGTTTTGCAATAATGTAGTATACTTGACTCTACATAGTGAAATCTCTTGGGAAGGAGAAAAGAAAGGTACATTTCAAATCCATTCCTTATTTCAAGCACACAGCATCAAACTGTTTTGCTTTCAATTTTCTGAAATCTCTGCTCTAAACCACCACCAAAATGGAGGCAAAACACTTACATGTCCCACCTCCCTCTTTGAGGAACGCTATTAGCACTGATGGGACACTATGCACTAATTTCTGGTGACACAAAAAGTGGCTGCAGTCACTAAACTCTACAGCATCTGAGAAAAGACACTTCACATTTTTTGAAGCTTCAAAAAACAAGTTTGGTTTCTAGATGGCAAATTAAGCCTGGCAGAAGTTTTCTCTTCCAGATCACGCCCGGCCCTGTGGTGCTTTGAAGCACAGTATCCAGGACATACACTCTTACCTCTGACACAAACTTTGTGGTAGCATCACTTAAGGTTTTCAACATTGGCGTTGCTTCAGCGTAAAATAAAGACATTCTGTTTGCCAACTCGTTATTTACTTCATTTTCTCCCTCTGCCTACAAAACAGAAGGAAAAGAAAATTTAGTTTTTCTGTACATGAAGAAGAGGGGTGGTAGCATAAGATTATATTTCATCTCCTCCAAGGGTTACCTACTGGGACATTGTTAATCCTCATACGGCTCAGAGTTCTTCTATAGTAGCTGAAGTCATTCTGTATAGCAGGATTTGTCATCTAGAGAGACATGGAAGCAAGAGAGTTGTGACAAATTCCAGAAAAATAAGGACAAGTTTTCATAAAATATAATACAAGAAAATATTCAGCTTCCTGAAGTAAAAAGGCCTGTGACGTGGTGGGAACTGATAAGCACCAAGTAAAGCTCTGTGGGTAGTTTCTCAGATTTTGCAGAACAAGATCTAACAGGAAAAAGAAAAGGAGCAGGAGTTGGAAATTAGAAGGTTGAAAAAAAATTGCTTTCCTAGTTTGACTCCAAGGATCAGACCAGCAAACTAATAATCATTTAAGCTTAATTCTTTGCACATCACTAAGAAAAGAGCTGGACTATGCATGTGCACAAACTAAGAGTAGCAGCAGTATCCCAAGAGATCCGCCAAATTTGGATGAAGAAACATGATTAATATGAACTGAAATAAAACAAGTGCCTAAAGCTAATATGATATTTCATCTCTTTCCAGTCTAATCTAACTGTAGGTCATGCAAGCAAGCCAAATACACTGGATCTTTGAGTATGTACTGCACACTCTGTCCTAAAACATAACACAGCCCAGACTGCTCCAGTAAACAGACCTGGTTTCTTTTGGCCAGCCTTTGTGCTCACAGAACTACAAGTCCTTACCTTGAGCTCATCAAACCGGAGTGTAAAGTGAAGAATTTCTGCAAACTGCTTGGCGAGAGCCTGCTCTCGCTCCAGGTGCTGCGTGGGGGAATACGGAGTGCTCGTCAGGGCTCCCAACAGGCCTCGCAATCCTGCCTCTGAAACGAGAGGGCAGAATTTTGCCGTGTGCAACAGCATCTGCTTCTTGTATCTCTGTTGGCTGATATCCTGCATGCTAGACTTAAAATATATACATCTGCCCAAATACATGGTGGTTCATAATAAAGGGGTTTGATTAATTGCTTATTTATGTGTCACTGTTGTCATATTTACTTACAAATTGCTGTACAGACTAGGTCTGATCAGCACTGACAGCCATAAAAAGAAGTTCCTGAAAAGGTTTCATTCAAGCTTTGCCTGCAACATTTGTGTAGAACATATTTCAATAACCTGTGTTAGCAGACTTCAGCCTTTAAGACAACACAGAATTCAAGAGGCACACTACTACAAGCAGAAGTCATGTCTTAAGATAAACTCATAATCCACTTCTTGTTCATCTTCTTGAGAAAAATGCCTCACCTCTTTAACAAAGCAGAACCTGCCTGCAAAAAGTTTCCATGTTTTGAACTAATTTTTTCAGGAGCTATGCTAATAACTCTGATTAGAAGTGAGATAACAACAGATAGTTTGTCAAAAAACCAAGTCTAATAGGTTTAATCAGCTTAGCCACCACATCAGTCAAGTTGGTTTCATAAGAGGTATGAAGCACCATCTTAAGTATTGCAAGTTCTATGTGAACCAAGATCAGGCATTTCCACAGACCAAATTATTTCTAGTGTTTAAATTATACAGACACTTTCAGATTCTCTTGTTATGAGAAACATTAACAGGACTAACGCCCAGATTATTTAGTCCACTAATTTTCAAACGATCAGATGGTTTCTGCTGTCTGGAGTTGCTAAAGGAGTAGGGGAAGAGGATGACAAGCATGCTCCCATTCTCTCTCTCCTTTCAGGCACCCACTGAAGCACATCTGCTGTCAAATGCAAGAAGATAGTACACAGTGTATAGAAGGAATCTATGCAAAATGAGCTTTTTTCTATTAAGGAGTTGACCCAGATGTGATCACATATGCCAAATATACTAATTAATGAAGACAAAACCCACAAGTTAATACCTTTCCACTTACCTAGTCTTTGAGAAAATTCATAGAATTTCTTTAGTTTGCCTACTAGTGGCACAACTGCACCCCATGCCTTCTCTTGCAGCTTCTCATCATTGGGATGCTGTATTGCCTTAATTAGAAATGGAGAGAAAAACAGTATGCTTAGATTAACTGAAGCGCTGTTGACTAAAAAAATTATTAAAAAAACCTACGCAGGACAATTGTTTAAAGATCTAATAACTAAAACTTCTACCTACTAAGAGGTTTTCCAGTTGAGAGACAAGCCTGTACTAACCCAAGTCTGTTCCAAAAAGGTCTAAGTAATTGTGTTGAAAGTAAGTATCCTGAACAGGAAAACAACTTGGAGAGAGAGTAGAAAGAAATGGTTAAAAATAAAGCCACTCAGATAAGAACATTTACATAACCAGATCTCATTAATTAAAATCAACAATTTCACTGTGGTTCCTCCAAGCAAAAAAGTTTAGCAATCAAAGCCTCATCCTAATGTTGGTATCTATCACCAATTCCTGAATTTACAGAGAAAACAAACAAACAAACAAACCCAACAAATTTGCTGTGAAATTCAGGCTAAAAATTATAGGAGTATTTAAACATAAACAACAATATAAAGCACCACCAGGACATGGTGTATACCAGATCTCTGAGGTATAGATCTTGTCTTTACAGTACACTTCCCAGATATAATACCTTAAATTCAATCCCTCCAGGTTTTTAGAAACTCGGCTACTTAGCAACTGAAAATATACTAAGAGAAGAGAAATAAAAATGTTCATAACTCTCCTGCCGCATTTTCACAGTCAATTCCTTGATTCAAAAATATGTTTTGGTCAACCCTGGGCTGTGAGCTCCATCACACTCCTCTCTGGTTCCTAGAAAGATTCCTTCCTGAGATGTCTCCCTCCTCTCAGGAGTGTCTCTCCTTTCTCCATGGGAGCTGCAGGTTTCTTTGCTGAGCCACAAGTTCCTGCCTGATCCTCCTGCCTCTCCCTGAGCCTGCTCCTTCCTTGAAGAACAAGTAAGCCACCTCCCCTCCTAAGGGGTTTTTGTGTGACACAGTTACCCTTCTTAAACCTACCTGATTAATTCAACAGAGAGAAAAACTCCCAAAGCTGAATGTCTCTGAGTATCTCAAATTCATCTGGAGAGAGCAGAGAGCCCTCCTATCTAATACTATAATAATGGTCAGTCTCTTCGCGAACGAAGAACCGGGGAAGGTCTTTACACCTTCCAGCCTGCGCATTGGATTTTTTAGGTGAGACACAGTGTGCGCGGAACTGAGCCCACCCTTTAATCCTGAGGTTCATCTGCCGGGGCCAAGCAAGCTTGGACGGTGGCAGCGAGGTCCTCAGGATGTAGATGGATTGCCTTACAGGGCTAGCGAGCTCCATCTGCCCGGGGAGTGTCCTAACCGGGAATCGAACCCAGATCTCAGCGTTGACAACGCTGTGGTTTAGCCACTGCACCACCAGGGACACTCTTATCTAATACTATTTCTTAAGGGTATGCTACAGTGAGTAACTCCTCACTTCAGGAGTAGAGCAGCCTCCATTCCTGCATGTGAGGAAGAAAGAAAGGGGGTTGGGAAAATATTTATCCCACCCTTTCTTAAATATAAAGAAAAAATGGAGTGACATTCCATACAGAAATTCTGTTTCTGTTCCAAACATCTACTGTAGTAAATAAAAGCCCATTAAAAGGGATTGAAAATGAGATGTCTTTTGTGTCAGGATTACCACACCAGACTTCTCCAATTACCGCACAAGAAGATGTCGACACTACTCAATATTGCACTGTAGTCACGCCACACTCTTTCCAACTTCACTACTAACTCAAGGAGAGCTCATGTGGGAACACAAAGAAAAACCAATAGCAACAATTCCCTGAAAAGTTTGAGAAGCATCATTTACTGTTACACATGTGGATTAATACGACTGAAACAAGCGACATCTGTTCCGCTGTTAAAAAGAAACATTCCAGAGCAGAAATTCAAGACAGTGATTTTAATAGACAACATGCTCTGCCAAAACAGCTCCTGCAAGCAAAGTTAAAACCCAGCAGTATTTGGTTAGGATCAGACAACGAACAACCACAGGTTGTGCAGAGTTGTAATGCTCTAGCTCACCTCTCGTATTTCATGGCCAGCTCCTCTATATGACTGCAAGTCTTCCAGTATTCCTTCTGCATCCTTTAACACTACATTCACCTGATTATAAATTTCCTTTTCAGATTCTGTAGGTTGGGCATCTAAACAGCAGAACATATTACATGTATATATATATATATATTTAACAACAATATGGAATTCAATAGGTACACCATCACCCATGGAACAAATTCTTCATGCAGCAACTCATCAAGAATTTCCATTCCCTGAAGAGCTACTACAATGTATGAGGAACTCCAGGAGAGTAATTTTTTTCATTTTAGTAGTCTCTTAGCTTCATTTACCATCCCAAAAAAACACCTGGAATCTATCCTTCCAGACTTATTTAAAACTGAGTTAGGAGAGGAAATCCTGATGAGTTGTCTTTATGACTATCATATCATCTCACCTTGGGGTGCTGTACAGGCTCACTGCAAGAGACTTAGGTAAGCACTCAGACACACTCACTGCAGATTGCACAGGAGGTGTCCATGCCTATTGTTATCTAGAAACACTGCATCAGGTCATTTTCCATCTTCTCTGCCTCATCTTTAACTGCTTGGGAGCCATATCTTTTATTTCAAATATAATTAATTCTCAAAACATACTCTTTATCGCACTCACTGCACAATCAGAGTTGAGAACAAAAAGATCTCGTGTGAGCTTGGGGTTTTTTTTTTTGTCCTCCATCTTTAAAGATATATGTTGTCTCCCAGTTTTTTTATAATTAGTAAGGACTTCCCAAATGTATATTTGATCATAATTTCAAAAAGCTACACATATACTTTTAACAAAAGGCAAATCTGTAAAAGGTATGTTTTGAGAAGAATCAACAAACCTTTAAAAAGAATCACCTAGCGCAAATAGCTTGGACATGGTTTACCCGAAATGAAACAGATTTTTTTCTTTTAAAAGTTTGATGGAAGCTACAAGGTTAGTTCCTTTTAGACTAATATTAAAAAAAATAATAGTTACTGAAGCTCTTCTAAGGAAAACAAAACAAAACAAAAAAACCCCCACTTTTCTCTTTACATGGGGAAAATATATTATGAAATAAATATCATTGTACTTCAGTCCACTATTTCCAATGCCAAAAATCAGAGTTTTAACAATAGATTCTTTTTTATAGGGACAAACAAAAGCTATCTAAGGACAATATATCCTCATGACTTTGTGCAGTTTAAGGAGTCTGGAAAATGTCTTTTTAAAAGTGCTTTTCCCATGATCCATACATAAAACTGCCCATGGAAGTTAGGTAAATCTTTATATTTGAAAAAAAAACCCCATAGTATTCTAGTGTTTCACATTAGAAAAACACAACAGAAAATGAGGAGAAAACAAATTTCATGTGCATTGCCTGTATGGATTTTTCTGTAATTTTTGTACAATAGTTCTTATTTTTATGGTTTAATGTACAGACAGTTTGTATTACTGGCAAATATGCCTATATATAGACCTTGCAACAGTTTAACTAATATTTTGAGAAACATCAAGAATTAGCACAGGTTAAAAAAAAGCTGGTCACTCCTTTAAAAATAAATAAATAAAAGAGCACCACATTGATTAGGCATCGAGTAAAAGTGGCCAGTGCTTTTCAGATCACCACAAAAGTCACATAATTTTGAAAGCTGCTGAAGACTGCTGTAAGAAATGAAGACAAAAAATGAGGAAAAAGAGCAGACAGGGAAGCACCAGTTGACTGGCAGCAGTTCATGCACCAACATGAAATGCTATAGTGAAATACAGACTAAGACGTGAAGCTCTGTAGCATTCCAGACTGTGTTATTAAATAATGCAATCAAGACTTGTCACTTGGATCGTCTCACACTGAGTACATCTCCTGCCTACTTAATTTTTCATGCCATTTTTTTCTTTACCCTGTGTAGTAAGGAGAGCTCATTTTTCAACACTGGGAGGGCAGAGCAGAAGGGCCCACAAGAACTCCTGCTCCTCATTTCAAAACACACCAACAAGCAGAGCAGCTGCAGTTCTGTGACCCTCCATGAAACAAGAAACATCTTCCAAATATGATTTTAGAGGTCTTCACTGAACAGCTGGCTAAGCAAATCAACACCTCCATCACCTCAGATAGTGTAGGATGTAATCAGCCAACTACTGTATTTCATTTCCCTAAAATGTTCCAGGAAACCTAAACCCAATGGTTTATACTTAATTTGTTGGGGTGGTGGTTTTTTTTGTTTGTTTGTTTGCTTGTTTTGATTATTACCAACTTCTAAATATCAAACTGTTTTAAAACCCAGTAGGTAGGGAGTTATTTATTTTGGTATGCATTTCATCTTGGACCTCTCATTTGGTGGACCTAGTCCTCTCCAATAAAAGAAATCTGTAAACCTGATTTGTCTCAACTAATTTCCTCTGCCACCTGTAATTTTTTTTTTCCCACCTAGAAGGGAGCTCAATTTTATAAAGCAAACTTGAATTCTTTTATAATCCCTTCAGAATACATTTAAGATTTTATTAGGACAGAGATAAAAGGCATGATACAGAAAATCTTCAAGACTTAGTGCTGGCTGACCCAGAGCAAATGGTTTATTTGCTTCTCAGTGCTGGTCAGGGCACTGCATTCCGAAAGCCCATCACAGGTGGAGAAAGAGGGAGAGGTCCCTCTTCCTAAGCACAGCTGTCACCTTGACTAGATCGAGGTGCCCTTCCCATATTATGGGAATAGCATCCCTCGGGATGTACCTGAGGACTCAAGCTACGGGACTTGGCTCGAGAATCACTAATTTTGGAACTCATTTTCCTCAATGTGGAGTGCACAGAGCAGGAAAGGGAGCTGTACTTCTGGAGTTACTCTTGGCAACTAAGAAAAAACAGCCAGCAATGCCAGGCATCCAAACAGGAGGATGAAGGAGACAAAACGTCAGGGATTTCCCTTTTCCCCCCACATCTATTTAGGTTCCTTCTACAATCTTAGAACAAGGCTGTGCCTTCACCCAGCAGTGCTTTCCCATTGGAAAACCAAATGGTTCTCCATCTTCTATGGACAACAGAAAGAACAAACACTAAGCACGGCACAGCTCACTGAGATGTTCTGAGGTTTGATACTGTTGCCATGGGAGCTGAACCCTGGTTATTCAGGGCAACTTTCCTATTTTCCATCCAGTAGTAGAGAAAGGGAAGACTGAGGTCCTGCAAGCAAGTGGGGAGTTCATCTTTAAATTAATTTTAAATTTAATCTCAATGTTACTGCACTAAATGCAATATACACTTAGAGTTCAGAATGCTCACACCATACAGTATTAAACACAGAAGAGCAGACTTGCAACAATATACAAACGTTGTTATGTGAACTAAATACTACAAAAATATGACAACATATGGCATGAGGGGGAACACACACATTTAGTGACTATTTAAAAAATATATTTGGCTAGCCTACAGAACTAGTAGGCAGAGAAATTTCGGGTTAAAAGTTTACACTCTACAGCAAACACTACTTAAACTGAGATTTTCCCAGGGAAGAACACGTCAAGTCATCTGAAACTGTCTGGGACAAAACTCACAAACAAGGGAGAGAAAAATCCCAGACTGCTGGAGATGAAATAATTTATTCATCTCTATCAGCATTACTGTGGAGAACACTGTCTCTGTGGCTCCTCTGAAACCTGGCCAAGTTCTCTGGGGGTAACACAGAACACTGTCAGCTCCAGCTTGAGATCACCATTTGAAGGTACACTACTCAAATCACTAAATTTGGAAAGGATTTGCACTGTGACAGAAATTACTCTAATGTAAAAATTGAGCTGTATATTTCCCACATTACAGGTGGCTGTTTTATGTGAACAATATTGTCCTTGCAAAGATGTGCACTTTGCTCATGTTCAACTGGCACTGCACAGACTTTAGAGAATACTTAAGACAACTCTTTGTTTCAAATAGGTAATGTGAATGACCAAATAAAGCATAAGCGTAACCAGTGCTGGGGCAAAGGAAAGCCAACAGCACATCATATCATTTATCAGAATGTTTTTTGTATGCATTCTAATAGTCAGTCACACCAGTCACTAGAATCTAGCACCAAGACAAGTATCTGGGGGGAAACAGTAGTCAGAAACCAGTGTAAAACCTTTCTAGATTTGAAGTTTTTAGCACTATAAAGCTTTACAGACATTGATTTTTAGCTCTTTGTGGTACTACACAAGAAATGTTTAACTAGCCTGCTCCCTCCAAAGATATCTATCTATCTATATATGGATTTAAGAACAAAACAACAAAAGCCTTCCAACTGCCTATTACTGGGCCAGACGTAACACAGAATTGTCAAATTTGTGTTTAATACAGAGCTTACTTGTCCTTCCACATAAAAACACAACATTAAGTATCACAAGATAAAGTGCCAAGTCTTGAAGAAAGATCTTGACTGTGTCAAAGCCAAGATCCTGTCAAGGCAAGCTATCTGAAACAGAGGAGAAAGAAGCATGGATACACAGTATAGCAGCAGAAACAAAGGCAGGACAGGGTCCAAAACGAATAAAGAACAGTCTAACAATTCAGCCATAATATAAGTCACTTAATTTATTGCGTATGTAAACATTTCATGTCAGCAACCTGCTTACTCTCATGCCAAATCTTGTTCATGCTCAAAACATGCATTTCAAAACAAAACTGATAGCTAAAGAATCTGTATTAAAAAAAAAAAAAACCAAAACAAACACAGCAATTTTTATTGCAATTTAAGAATTATGCCTCTTCTATCCAGCTAACTTGAATTTCACTTACTCCAATTAAATGTTCAACATTTGCAGACTAAACTGGAGCTTCACAGCTCAAATATTCTCACTATGAGTTCTTCCTACTTCATTAAGTTGTACCTATTCCGACAATATGCAAGATTTGATCTTAAAGAAGTATTGTTTCCTGATTTTTGAACACAGTCCTTGATTAATCTTCCCTTTATTAATAATTTGTATAGTAAAAATCTTCCAATAACAATATATTCATAAGAGACAACTGATAAAATTGAACACTACAACGTAAGGGTTTAGAGAGGTTGTAACTTTAAATGTCATCAAAGCAAAACCATATTTCTCCAAGCATTCGCTTTCATATCATAACTAATATAAACCAGCTACTGTTTCATCAAACACAACTGAAAATAATTCAGGGGAAGAAAAGAAGACATAATGCATCTCAAATTGTCCATATCACAATACTTCATTAATTTTTTAATCACACTATTTCATTGTATTTTATAACACGGTCAAAATGCGCTTGAGAATTAATTTTCTTAGGTTTAAGCTTGCTGATGTACAGCTGGGTAAAGCAACAGCACATCCCAAAAGATAGTAATTAAACATGCATAGCAGAAGCCAGCAACACTTACCTGCCATTCTTAGGCTTTATTGTATCATGCAACAAAAACTAAAAGCAGAAATATAGACAATATGTGAACCTTCTACAACACCTGGCATTGATCAGCCAAGTCAAATCTCTTTTCAAAAGCAATTTTATTTCTACACACTCTGAGATCCCCTTTCAAGAAGGGATGAGGTTAAATTTCAGTGCCAAATCAAATAAGGTTCACATATACACCTTTAACGTGATGATGCTGGAGCTATGAATATGTTGTGAGCAAATCTGTATAAGCAGCATTATTAAGAGGAACTGATGAGAATCAGGTTTCATTTTCAGTCCTTCCTTTAAGGTGCATCCATCTCCTTGCAATTTCAGGAAGCCTTCAAATAATTCCAATTCTTTTTAAAGTTTTGATTAAAAGTAGGAAGAATTTTAATTTAAGAAACAAGAACTATATCAGGTTTCAACATATAAAACATAATTTGAAAGCCCTCCCTGAAATAAAGATCTTCCATTTTAGAACCTGAGGATATTTCAGAATAGGTTATTGCTTTATATCAAAGTTCGCTGAACAATTATCCATAGCTCAGGCATACAAAGCAGTTAGAAGGATGGCAAAATGAAAACATACATTAAGTACATGACAAATGCAGTCTACTGCAGGCAAAGAGTAATAGATATATAAAATCATCTTCTCACTTTCAAAATCAAGGAAAAAATTTGGCCCCTGCTCAAGGTCTGTGCATGTCAAAACTTTTAGAAGGTTCCCCATGTTAAGGTACCTGCCAAGACAAGAATGAGAGAAAAGAAAATTTTCTTTTTATAAGAAGGAACAGCCCAAATGTAGTTGATTGAAGCAGTGGGGGGGAAAGAAGACCAGAGAGTTCCATCAGGCACGAACCCGTCCTTCAGGCCCCTCGCCCCGATGGGTGAGGGGAGAGCCCCACACCTCGAGGAGGCACAGCTGGTGGTTCCAGCCATGCAGCTTTCCTGTAAGAAGTGACCACGTCACCAACATCTTCACAGCTCCCCCATTCTGGCAAGGGGCAAAATCCAAACAAAGGCTTTGCCAGTGACTCATTCTGTCCCGGAACACCCTAGCACCAGTGTCCTGAGCAGGAGTACTGCCTTGAGGGCCAAGTACCATATTTGCAAGCATTAGCCATGCTACCGATTTTTACCTGATGGGACAACAGAAGGAAAGAGCTTTAATTTTGTCAGCCCTTATAATTTTGTCAGAAAGCCATCATAGATCATCAAGGTCACATCAAGATGCATCGCTTCAGTGTGCAGAAAATGCTAACACAGCTACGCCACAGATCTTTTACACAAGGTGCCCAAAACATCTGTGAAGCTCAGACAGTTTCACTTTGGACTTTTGGATGTTAAAAAACACACACTGACTGCACGATGAATGATCAAAGAGGGATCACTCTTGTCTAAGGGAGGATTACAGTGAACAACAGCTCAGCACAGATTACTATGGCATACTGACAGAATTTTCAATTTCATGATTACTGGATTTGCAGGCAGATGGATGGACATCAGTGACCACAGAGACCCGAAATGACTAAGCACATGGAAAGAAAATTTACACAGCAGCATGATGGTGGCTTGGCTACTACTGGAGGGGAGGGGGGAAAAAAAAAAAAAAGGCAAAGAGGAACAGAAAAAATACATGCAACTCTTTCAAATTCCAGATTTGCAACTGAGTCCCCTGGCCTTCACTGCAGCAGGTATAAGCAACCCTACTGTTACCATTTGAAATGCACCAGCTGTGAAGGGCTGAGAGACTTACTTTCAAAATCCAAGAAAAAATGTGCTGCATTGTGGTCTATGTCCCTGGTTAGCACCTTAATGAGATTACCCATGCCAGCAAACCTAAAAATAAAAATGGCAAAATGATTTAGTTCCAATAACCATTTCCTATTTTAAGTACACGCCTGGGACTCACTGGAGCTCCCACTGTGTTTTGCACACTGGACTCGTCAACTTCTGGTGGGAAGCAAAACACATGCACTGCACAGTGCATTTCCATGCCTCTTCTTCTCAGGGATTCTCAAGGATTGTTGAAAAAAAGGAAAAATCATAAGCTTTGACAAAAACAAAGACGTGATCTCTTTTTCATCTTTGCTTAATACATTTAAAGAACATGTGACCTATGATGACTGAGCAATTGTTTTGCATAACTGCAGCACCCAGTGCCAAACAAATCCATTATTGTTTAGGACAAAAGCAATCTCAAATCATAAGCCTGTTTTTTTACTATCTCTCCATAATCCAAAACAGATTTCGGAAAGCCTCTTAGTAGTAGTCATCTGTGGCCAATGAGCAGTTTTCCCATTAAATCACAAGTTAAACACAAGTTAGACTTTTCCAAAACCAGGAGAAAATCAAGTTTCAACAGTTCTTCTTATGTTTGCTGTCACATCCCAGCTAAAAGAAATGAAAAGTGGAAGAAAAATTAAATAGTTGTTAGATTACTTGAGATCAGAGAAATTATCAAAACAGTTTCAAATGTTACCACAAGTTTCAGAAATCAATATCTTCAGTAGGATTATGAAAACTGCATTTTACAAGGCAGCCTTTTCAAGGACCCTCCCATATTTTACAGAAGCTGAAAATATACCTAAGAACAATTGCTCTGAAATAACAAGAGCTCACTAGAGTGAGCTGCAAGGTAAACAAGACACCATCCAAAAATCTCACCTCAAATTATTTAAGAATAAGACATCGACAGTCTGACAATTGGATTAAAGTGTAAAATATAAAAAAATCAATTTTCAAATTAGTCTAACTATACTAACCTACCATTATATGTTCCTTCTTCCCTGATCTTTAGTTTTGCTGAAGACTTATGTTTACCTGGAGGGAGGTTGCACGACACTAAGAATCATTAATTTATTAGGAATTAAAGAAACTGAAGCAATGCGAACTCAAAACAAATTGTCAAATCAAACTTTCAGAACCTGTGTTGACAGATTTCTTGAATTCCATAAGAAAAAGGCAACTGGTTTGTGAGGGGGAAAAGCAAACTAAAAACAGCACATGATTTGTTTTTCCAGATCCTCAAGATTCAGCAACTCACACAATCAAGAAAAGCTAGAGAAGGAAGCAGGAATTAATCCCAAGTTGTTGAAAATTACTCAATCTTTGCTCCAACAACTTCTAAAGAATGACCAAATGACTGTTAAGGAATCTAGATTTTTACAACAGTGACTTTGAGTGTAACCCTGCTGATCATGGGAGATTCTGCACACAGAACTCAGCAGGCATATTCTCACTTTTTTACATGTTCAGCTTTCCCCGTGAAACTCAAGAAAATGCAAGACCTGCTTCCCAAGCATTTGAACTTAGTTCCTGGAAAGTCAGATCAGGCTTCTGAGCCTATGAGAAACACTCATTATTTCAAGGAATTTTTAAATTAGAGTGCCCAGTTTAGAGGCTCCTCTCAAAATAAAGCCATGAAAACATGTTTCTTCAAAGAAGCAGCTTTTCCAGAACTTTCTATTCCATAGCTTAGTAAACTCTTTATTGCTACACATGCACCAATGCTGTGTAAACACACAACAGTAGAAATCAGACAAATTACTTTTCTGTATCTAGCAAGCATGTTCTGTAGCACAGGAGTGAATAAGCCACTTTGTATTTCAGCTTTATCCAGATTATGAATATTCTTCTTGTTGGGGAGTGGACAGAGGCATTCTTAAATATTTTCAACAGGGCCAGTAAAAAGCCAAAAACAGAAGCTGCATAATGGTGATCCAGTCTGAAGATTCAGATTTAAAACCCAAACCTTAACCTCAGGACAGTGTATTCCACATTTCAATTCCAACAATAACAAACAAGCAGCAAAGACGTGGCAGTGAACAATGTTAATGGCCTAAACAGAACTCCTATACAAACAGTTACTGCTGTGCTTCAGCTGCACCATCCCCTCCTCCACCAAAATATTTTCCACATCTCAAAAAAAAAAAAAAAAAAGCCTCTGCGTAGGTTTTGCCTTTGTTTAGATATTAACCAGTCTCCTAAGAGTTTATAGGCTCATGAATGTGCTTATATATTGGATAACATTACTTCTGAAGGTCAGAGTAGGGGCATGCTTATAGGGTTGAAATATTTTGAAGCTAAGGTTACAGGAGAGCACATAGCCACTGCAGAGCAGATTGTTTCATTGAGCCTCTACCACCTCCTAAAATGAGTAGGGGGTTGGGGACTCAGTTTTGAATACAAATGCTTTAATAGCTCAGAAAGGTTTCCCAGGAAGAATATATGGTTTCTTTTCTGGGTGTTAAGTTTAGCAAATAGAAAAGCACAGTAAAAGGTTTGGCACTACAATGGAACAGTTGATGTCATATTCAAGCAGGAGATGCAACTGACCTCAAGGTAAAAGCTCAGAGAAAAGCCTCCCTGAGCAAAGGAAGAGAAATTGAAGATGATGATAACGGATTAATTCAACCACAACAGCAACAAAATGACAAGAAGGGATATAGGAGTGTATTTCAATTCACATGAATAGAAAGCTGAATGAACACTTGTTTGTAATGAAGTTCCTAACAGACTTCTTACCTCACATGTGCAGTGTACTGAAAAAATCTTGATAAACTTTAGTCACAACAGAGTTTTTCACACAAGATGTGCAATCATATCTGCTTTCTTAGCAGCAAAGCATTCACTATATATTCAGTTTTTATGGAGTGCATGGAAATCTAGCAGAAGCTGAACAAACAGTATTTTGGAAACTTGAATAAAGGTGAACTGTAACAGTTACTCAAGGATCTCAAGCATTCCTTAATACCAGTAGACCTGCTGTGTTTTAAGAACTGTAAAAATGACCAAATCTCCAAGTTGTATTCCAGAAAAACTTTAAGAAGCTTTAAAGACCTTGAAAACTCAACTGAACAAGAAGATATTTCTCTAGCATTTTTTGGGAGGACACTTTCAGCTTAGCATTCAAGGTAATGAATGAGAGAGCCAGCAGGTCAGAATTTACTCTTTTATCAAGGCTAAACACTCCCTTCTTGAGCTCTGAAATGGCTTCTTAGAAACAAGGCCACGGTGCCACTTGTGGAACTTCCTAGATACATGGAAGCAGCATCAGGTCAACACGCCATGGGTAAGGTTAGATGGCTCTACACTTCTGTACATTATTTCCCTTCCAAAGGTATAGCTGAGCAGCAAGCAGAGCTGACCTGTTGCACTCATGTGAAACACTACAGAAGGTAAAATGAAATCTGACCTTTCTGAGAAGCTGCTGTGTCAGCAGAATACCTGGATCAATCTAGAGTAAAGTAACTTAGCTCAGAGATACATCAGGCCCATGACAGATAAGATAAAGGTTTACTAGAGATTCTTGTTTTGTTCAAGATGGCTCATCATTTGCATTTCTTCTGGGCCCAAACACATTAAGAGACCACTACTGGCTCTAATATTAAAGATGATGACAATTTGCAAGTAGCATGAGAAGCCATCTATAAAACCAGCCACTAGTAGCCTTCAGCAACCTCTTCTGCTATTTGATGCCCTGTAAAAGCATAATTAGCATGAAGATTTTAGTAGTTCCATGAATTACCTTGGTAATTAAACACCATAGTGGCATGCCCAGTCAGTATTACTGCACCAAGCACTCTTCCAATTTCTTTGAAAGTCCACAACTTCAGCTGAACAAAGTAGATTTACTCATTTACAAAGTCAGATGTGGTTCCAGTTAGGTAGTCCTGACACTGAGCTACCACTATCTAGTCAAGAATATCTTCCAGCACTAACTGCATCCTTCTTGAGC